GGGGTGGGGGGTGGGGGGGTAGGACCAGGCCTAGCTAGGCCCCGGTGGGGGAGTAGGACCGAGCCTCGGGGCCTGAGAGTGGGTTGGGCCGCACCCAGAGTGCTGGGGGCGCATAGAGTCTGGCCTGAGAGGCCTTAGGGAGCCGAACTCTGGTTCGGGGAGGCGTCCTATGGCGCCCTGGGGGCGGGATAGCCCCCCTCCAGCAGGCCTGATGGGGGAGGGGCCGCAGCAGCGGAGGATGCCTTCTCCATCCAGGCCCGGACCCCGCAGGCCGCCCAGGCAAACGCAGGGCCCCAATCACTGGTGCTGGGCCAGGACAAGGCGGCAAGCCGTCCCCGAGAACCCCGGGAAATCGGGTGGCGTCGGATCCGCTCCCCGGGCCCTGACCGCGCCCGGGGAGCCGGGCGTCTCGTCCTCGAGCCCGTCGACCTTGCGGCAAGCGGGGAGGGGAGAGGAGGGGGCGCGCCCGGAGGCCCCGCGGGCCCGCCGCCGCTGCTGCCGCGTCCCTTTGTTTCTCGGAGCTTCTTAGCGGGCCGTAGCCTCGCGCGGGCGCCTCAGGCTTCGGGGAGGGGGAGGGGAGAGGAGGGCCCGCGGGGTGCTTCCTGACTCGTGGGCCCCCGCCCCACGGGGGATGGGGTAAGGAGCTCAGGGATGTCTCCTAGGCCAGGTCCAGGCGCCCCACCCCGCCAAGGCTCTGGGCCTCGGGGTGACCTTGAGAGCGCCCGCCCGCCCGCGCCGCTCGCCCCACTCCCGGTGCTTTCAGCAACCACTGAGCTGGTCAGCTCCCGAGCCCGCGGCCACGCCCGGCCACGCCCTGTATAACCACGCCCCTGCCCCGCCCATCTGGACCCCGCCCCCTGGGGCCCCCAGGGCCCGGCCTCGCCCGAGCCCTCGGATTTCCACTCGGCAACCCGGGCGTATCCCGGGGGCGGGGCTGGCCAGTCCTAGCCCCACCCCGGCTCCACCCCCGCCCCCGCCGCGCGACTCCGTTCCCCGCGCCGCCGCGCGTCCTTTGTCTGGTCCCAGCGCCCAGGCCTCCTTCTTCTGTACTTACTGTCTTTCCGGTCTGTGTGTGTGTATGTGTGTGCCTCTGTGCACTGTGTCTCTTTCTGGGCCTCTTCTTGGAGTGGTGTCTCTCTTGGAGTCGTGGCGAGCACAGTGGGTGGAGGGATGCTCAGCACTCCCTCCCTGCGTGGGACCCTGGGACCCGCCCACCTGGCTCGGAGAAAGGAGGCCGGAGAGGCCATGCTTCCCTGCTGTGTGACCTTAGGCAGGCTCCCTCCCCTCTCTGGGCCTCAGGCTGCTAACCCAGGGGCAGGAACGTGAGTGCAGCCTCCTGACGACCCTCAGAACCCCCACAGCAGTCCAGCATCCATTCCTCTGATCTGTTCCTTCATTTGAAAGAGGGAAACTGATGCACAAAGGGGCGAGGGTGTGGTCAGAGGTCACACAAGGGCCTTGAAGCCCTGGAAGGCCTGGTTACTCCCCTGGAGGGCACTCAGGCAGAAGTCCACCATGGGGACAGGCTGGGAGGAAGTGAGGGGATAAATTGAGACTGTGAGGGCCCTACATGGAGGGAGAAGGGCCCAGAAGGGGGAGGCCTAGTTAGCACCACGTGGTAGCCTAGCCTTACCACGCATAGCCACTCAATGCCCTATTGTGGCCAGTACCCAGGCATCTATCACTGTGACTGGGGCCAAAGGGGCAGTCACAGGAGGGTCTACAGAGCAAGTGACCTCTGGTGTGTTCCCTGCAAAATCCATATGTCATGTATGTGCAGTGGTGCAAAAGAGTTGAAGAAAGAGTGGCAGAGAGAAGGAGGGGGAGACAGATGGGTTCAGAGGGGAGAGAAGGACAGAGAAGCAGGGAAAAGAGGAAGAGAGAAATAGAAAGAGAGAGAGATCCAGAGGAAGAACTGGAGAGACTGGGAGGGAAGGTTCCATTGCTCCCAGTTGGTCTCTGCCTCCCCGTCTTGGGTCTACCCTCCTCCCCTCTGACTTCACCCTTCCACTCCTGACCTGGGACAGCCCTCCAAGGTCCCTGTGATCCGTGAGTCATCCCAGGCCACGCATTTGCTGTGGGCTGGGGCCGGGCGGGTGTGGTCTCCACCAATCCGATCCCTATTAGCGGCTCAGCCGGCTGAGCTGCAGAGGAAACGCGACACTGATCCTGCTAAGCTCTGGCACAGATGGGAGGGAGATGGGGTGCTGGGGAGATTAGTAGGCTGGGCCTCAAGATCCCAATTACCTTTTAACCCCATCCAAGTTGAGGACATTTGGGGTGGCTCTGTAGTCTCTGGGATAATCAGATCAGTAGTCAGACTTCATCACTACCTCTGCCGCCGGTCACTCCCAGGCAAATCACAGGTCCTTCTGACCCTCAGTTTCTTTACCTGAGAAATGGAGAAGATGATCTCCAGCTTTCAGTGTAGTTGTGGGAAGTCAGTGAAACCTTTGCACCTGCACAGGGCCTGGCACATAGTAGGGGTTCCAAAGCTGAAACCTGCTGTGTCCTGAAACAATGTTTTGTGTACAGCTAATTATTTGGGGGGGGCTCTCCTGTTGCAGATATCACCAACCAGTCACAGAACTCTAGTTTTCCGAGCCCAGAAGGGAATTCAGAATCCATCTTTGTGCGTGGGGAGCCTTGGTGCCATATCTTTAGTGGAGGGACCGAGGCCCAGAGAGGCAGTGTGAGTGTTAGAGGATACACAGTGAGGAGGTTGGAGCCAGAATCCAGCACATGGTGGCACCCAGTAAATGTTTGTTGAATTGAATGGGTAGACTCAGCCAACAGAGTAGGCTTAAATGTAGTGATGCCTGGGCTAGGTGTAGAGTAGGAGCTCAGTTTCGCTTTGCTGTTATTTTTTACTATTATTGGCTTTTTTTCGTAGTAAAGTGGGCTCTGACGTCCAAGCTCCGGATTTGAATTCTTGATCCACCATTTGCATGCTATCCAGCCTTGTGTAAATCCCTACCCCTTCATTGAGGTTCAGTTTCCTCTTCTGGTAAATGAAGAAAAGAGTCCCATAATGTTCAGTGTTGGAAGAATTGCCCGGAAATTTTCACATAAAGGATTTTGTCTGGCACACAGCAGGGCCTTGATACATGGCCATCGGTAAAGTATTAACCTTATGAAACTGGATACAGATCTGTAGCGAGCATTCTCGCTTTATGGCAGGTGCCTGAGGCAGACATTGTTAATCAACCCAGTGTTCCTGCTCAGTCTGGATGAGGTTTCGGAATAACTCTCCCGGAAGCCCCTGGACATCCACTCTCAGCCAACTGGAAATGCAGGGGAGTTGACCCTCCTCCGTGCCATCCCTATAATAAGAATACATGGAAAGGAAACAGAGGCTCAAAGAAGAGCTAAGATCATCCCTGAGGACACATACCTATAAGGTGGCAGAGCTCCCCCGTGCATTGGTCACTGTCATTAAAAGCAGCTCTGAAGTCCAACATAGCCAGGTTTGAAATTGAATTCCCCATTGATATCGCTCAACATCTCTGAGCTCGGTTGCCTCCCTTATAAAATGGAGAATGTGTTGCTGTCCCTAAAGATGATTGGGAGAAATAAGTGAAATGATGCCTGGAAGCACACAGAAGATGTCAATGGGGCAGGACCAGTATTAATAGCAGGTATTATGAGGCTTGGCAGACATGACAAGCTGCTTCCTGTGATCGTGCCCATGGCAGACCTGATCCCAGAATGCATTCCAGCTGCACCCATGTGTGGCTTTAGATCCTTCCCTGGGGTCACTGTGCCAATAACTCGGAGTTTGCAGCAAAGTGGAGCGGAGGCCCAGAAGCATTATGGAGCCTACCCGAGGACACACAGCTGAGAAATGTTAGAGCTAGCACTATTCTTCCGTTGGCAGTGGAAGTTGAAAATACAGACTCTGGATCAGAAAAGCTCCTGTGCAAATCCGTTTCGCTGTTTATAAGCTGCATGAGCTTTAGTAATTTTTAAAACATTGCTGAACTTCACTTTCCTCATCTGTCTTAGTCAGCTCGGGCTGCTCTAACAAAATACCATAAACTGGGGGGCTTAAACAACAGTTATTTCTCATAAATCTTCTGGAGGCTGGGAAGTCCAAGATCAAGGTGCCAGCTGAGTTGGTTCCTAGTGAGGACTTGCTCCCTGCTTTGCAGATGGACATCTTCTTGCTGTGTCCTCACATGGTGGAAAGAGAGATCATCTCTCCTGTCCCTTTTTTTTTTTTTAAGATTTTATTTTATTTATTTGAGAGAGAGAGAGAAAATGAGCTGGGGGGAGGGGCAGAGGAAGAGAGAGAAGCAAGGAGCCCAATGTGGGGCTCCATCCCAGGACCCTGGAATCATGACCTGAGCCTAAGGCAGACGCGTAACTGACTGAGCCCCTCAGGCGCCCCTCTCTTGTCCCTTTTTGTAAGGACATGAATCCCATTCATGAGGGCTCCATCCTCATGACCTAATTACCTCCCAAAGGCTCCACATCCAAATACCATCACATTGGGGATTAAGTTTTCAACATATGAATTTGAGGGGACACAGGCATCCAGTTCATAGCATCTGTTAAGCAGGGGAAATTAAGCTCTCTTTTCAGGGTGGTTGTGAATAAGAAAAAACAAAACAAAACAAAACATTGCGTGTAGTGGGTTTTGCACTGTGCCTGGCACACAGTAGGCCCAATATTTGGGAACAAGTATGGTATCGTATTTTGGGTCAGGGATGGCTGAGATGAAGTGTACTGCTGACTCTTTCTAATTCTGTAGCCTCAAAGACATTGCTAATCAATCACAGTGATCTCTCCTGCTGAAACTGAATATGGCTTCTAATCCTTCCTAATTCATCCCTTTTGGAAAACCCTACCAATCGATTTGATTTTTCAAGTGAGGGCAACCCATCTGCCAACCATGCCATTGAAGAATACCTAAGGAAATGCTGGCTACTTTACCTTCCCAGGCCCATGACAGATAATCCCAGCACTGTTTCCTGCTGAGCCCAGATGTGGCTTTAAAATTCTTCTCTGTGTGGTCCTTATACATAAAATAGATGTAGAATATATTTGAAAATTGCTAAGGAAGTAGATCTTAGAATTTCTCATCACAGGAAAAAAAATTATAAGTATATTTGATGATGGTTGTTAACTAGACTTATTGTGCAGATAATTTTGCAATATATACAAATATTGAGTCATTATGTTATACACCTGAAGCTAATGTAATATTATATGTCAATTATTAAAAAATGGATGTAGGAAAAAAACGTTAAATAAAACTCAACATCCATTCTTTAAAAAAAAATCTTGTTAGGATACTAAGAATAAAATTAAACATTCATAAGTGAAAACCCACAGCAAGAATCAAATTTAGCTGTGAAATATTTTAAAACATTTCCTTTAACATCATGAATAAAAAAGCCACTATCACACTGTATCCCCTGCAATAAGACAAGAAAAATAAATAACAGGTATAGATTGGAGATAAATAAAACTGTCATTATTTGCTGGTGTTACTATGTTATACATTTAAATAGCTCAGGGACACTAGCTGGCTCCATCAGTAGAGCATGCACCTCTTGATCTCAGGATTATGAGTTGAGCCCCACGTTTGGTGTAGAGATAACTTAAACATAATATATATTTTTTAGGGCGCCTGGGTGGCTCAGTTGGTTAAGCGACTGCCTTCGGCTCAGGTCATGATCCTGGAGTCCCGGGATCGAGTCCCGCATCGGGCTC